GGGAGTTCTGACATTTAGAGGAAGATGCCAGGAACCAGGAATTACCAGATGCAATAGAATTGTTTCTACAGAATGTGTTCTGTTCTTCTGCATTTGTGCACATTCTGTAGAAACAATCTACGGAATGTGTTCTGTTCTTCTGCATTTGTGAGGCCAATCCACCAAGACTTCTTCACATCTAAGTTGGGTCTCTGCAGAGAAACTTCCCAGTAGTGTTTGCCTTCGGAGAAGCCATGTTTTCCTTTGATGGCTGTACAAAAGGTCACTTCTGTTCCATCAGGGAACTGAACCCCAGACTTGTCTCTTACTATAACACCATCTTCTACATCTTTTACTACTAGATTATCTGTGGCCTCAAGTGTTATGTTTTCTGTAGAAAATTAAAACACAGACTTAAATCAAGCAGTGTCTTCATAGGTTGATGTTCATTGACATCTTTGAAAAGCTTACCATAACAGGGCTGCGTTTCCCCTGCAACACAAAAAACATTCATAATTAATAATGTGAATATTTCCTAAGGCAGTTGTTCCCAAACTCTGCACCACAACCTTTGTCAATAGGACTAATGTTTAGTCAAATGTCTCAAAACGCTACTGAACTGTATGTAAAACAGCAAAACTGCTATTTCTGTTAAACAAGGTAAATATCATTTACAAATCATTCCCCCTTTTTTTTATTGTAGGTCAAATTGAAAAAATATTGTAACAATAGCTCCTCACTGCAACAGCCTCCCCAGAGGAAATCATATCAGACGAACAATGATCAAATGCAATTTTGTTTATGAATTTAGTGAATAATCTCTGTTTTGATTTGTTTTGGTTTGTTTGTACATTGTCATAATACAATCTAGGGCTTACTGTTTGTTAAGAGTTTTTCCATTTCTGTCGAAGAAAGAATTTCTGTAAAACAAAAAACATTGTGACCAACATTCAAATCAAATGTAGGTATTGTTTTATGTGTGTGTGTGTCTTACGCTCTGATTCCTCCGTCTTATGTTTGATTCTTCTACAAACTAAAAATGAAGAAATATGTTAAGAAGTCAGCAGAATAAACATTTTTTCTGAGGATATTTTTTCATGATATTTTAGTTAAAATATATCTTACAATGAATATATTATTAACTTAATTTTCAAGCTAAAATGTCAGCTGTGAGCTCAGCATTGAGATAATATACAAACACACTAACTGAATTACTTATATTATAGGAATTATAAAAGCTTTTATTGTAAGTATTCAAATTTAAATACTTACCTCTCTTTCTTAAAAACACAACTGCTATTATGGCTAACACGAGTAACAGGAGAACACAAAAGGTCAACAATCCAACAGACAAGGAGCCTAACCCTATAAGAAAAAGCAACAGTTAAACAAACATAGTAATAGCTGCTTCACAAATCACACAAAGAATAATCTGTTTTTACCCTCATCAACAGGTAGGTTTCCCTGCAGGTGGATTATTGCCTCCTTTACACTTTCCCCAGAGACTCCTACAGAGCAAGAAACTCTAGAAAAGCCAGAAACCAGCAGCCAGCTGTGGACAGACACTGAACCAGCGGAGGTGCTACTGTGCAACAAACTTCTTGGGGCCAGTTCTTTTGTTCTTTCTTTGTGGTCCAACCAGCGGAGTCTTGGTTGTGGATACCAGCTATCAGATTCACAGCTGACGTTTGCCTGGTTTTCTCCCAGCCACTGGACTGAAAGGACCGGCTTACTTCCTGTTTCTAAAAGTGGAATTTACAGAAGTGTAGAAGTAAAGGTAATATTGTTTTCTAAGAATACTCCAGCTTAATGTACTAATGTTTCATGCTCACTTGTCACACGGAGACTGACACTTCCACGATCATAACCCTGGTCACTGCTGACATAGCAGGTGTAATTTCCCTCGTCCTTGATTGTGATGTTACTGAACCTCAGGCTGACATCTCCTGTGGCCAACCCTTTAGAGTTTGAATCCTTCTCACCAAACATGACTCTGTCAGTGTCCCCTTCCACACTTAACTTCTTGCTATTGTACAGTATTATCGGGGCGTCATAGTTTTCATCTTGGTACCAACGTATCTCCAGGGCCTCAGCTCTTTGTGGTGGGTCGAGCCAACAAGGTAGGATAGTTGGCTGTCCATACTGGGCTAAGACCGGAGAAGAGACCAATGTCACAAAGTTTTTTGAAGCTGAAAAAACAAAAAAATGAAAAAATTGGTTCCAGGGGGCTCAAAGATTTCAACCTTTAAAAGCAAACAATAAATAAATGGCTCAACAACTATAATTCACACATATGGTTTGTTGGTGTTTTCCACATTTTTTGCATTTGAGTGCAACCAAAATCCTTTTACAGGTTTACAGGACAGTGGTGAGACCAGCCATGATGTATGGTTTAGAGACAGTAGCAATAGGCAGAAGACAGGAGGAGGAGCTGGAGGTGGCAGAGTTAAAGATGCTAAGATTCTCTTTAGGAGTGACAAGAATGGACAGGGTCAGGAATGAGGTCATTAGAGGGACAACACAGACAGGAAGGTTTGGAGAAAAAGCTAGAGAAGCCAGATTGAGATGGTTTGGACATGTGCAGAGGAGGGACAGTGGATACATTGGTAGAAGAATGTTAGAGATGGAGCTACCAGGTAGGAGAAAGAGAGGAAGGCCAAAGAGGAGATATATGGATGCAGTGAGGGAGGACATGCAGGTAGTTGGAGTCAGAGTAGAAGATACAGAGATGCAACCAAAATCCTGTTCTCATACAACACATTAAATCAAATTACAGTGGCACACGGATTTCTGTACCCCCTTCTCCCACCCAGCAGATTGCTTGTCTATGGTCAGCATGTTGTATTGCTTCCTCGTCTCACTGATTCATAAAATAAGTAGAGTTATAAATCGGTGTCGTTATTGAGGAAACATAAACAATAGCTCTGTTCCAAATATGTGCGCAATGGAATTTTTCTTTTCACCCTACATAACCTAAGAGGACGAGACAGAACAACAGTTTACCTGCAGCAGCGACAGACAGAAACAGAAGGGCTCCCAGAAGGCGCATGTGTATTATCGCTTGCATATCTGGAACAAATACTATAATGAATACTTCAAAACAACACGTTATAAATCTATTCTAATGCCGTTCACCCAAGCCCACTGTAACACGATCTCCTTCTTACCCTTCGAAATGTCCAAAACCTCCTTAGTATAGCTCTCAGTGTCAGGTTTTAAACGATGTTTTACTTCTTAGATCCACTTCGTTGTCGTTGTTTGTAATGTAGACCGTCTCTGAATCAAAACTAAATGAAATTAATGTTTCTTTCTGTCCTGCAACGTGGACATGAATCACTTACTTTCATTTTTAAAAGATGTCATTCAAAAGTTGTTCCCTAGATGTCACTAGAGAGAACGTGAAGACTACAGTGACGTAATTGTTATTTTTGACGCTATTTTCATGTTGATAAATACGAACATACTTGCACACACGTACTCATACATGCGTACAAGGTATGCAATTAAAACTAAAATTACTGTGGCAGTGCATAGATGTCTCATTTCAGCCTAGAGTAGTTAATCTTACAAGATGCAATATATTCATTAAACCCCCTAATTTAACGACCACGGAATTGTTGGAGATGTAGAACTCCTCAAGATATTGCAGGTTTTAACTGAGCTACGGAATTAAATTTAAAATAAATTGTTGTAAAATTAAACCCAACACACAAAACAATACATTGAATGTATTATACCATCTAAATTTTATTGCGTGTAGTATGACAAGAATATACACTGACCGCTCTGTTTATATGGTGACCAAGCTGGGTCAAGCAGAAATATCCTCGAAGCTATTTCGTCGATATTCAAAATAAAAGCGGAAAACTTTCAATTATTTAAGTGCCTAGTTTGTAGTATGGTTCAGTGGCCCAAATTTAATTGTGTTAATCAAATATTGCATTTACTTAATGAGGCATTTCAAAGTCGGATTACATATTTTCATTTTAACAATTGCAATACAATTTAGGGGGCTGCATTAATTTTGAAAGGTCAAACGGGAAATAGCTGTTTATATAACACCAGAGTAAGGTTTGCGGCAACTGTGTCATAGTCCACGTAGCTCCCTATTTGTAAAGTGTTGTGTTGTTATTCGTGCGCTTCGGTTTTAAAATGCATTATTTTCTGGCGATAAACATACTATTAATGCATTTTATGTTAGCATAAAATGTCATTCTGACTCGCTAAAGTAAGCAGCTTGTGACTAGCGTCCTGCAGCTAGCATTGTAACTCTAGTTGTAGCTGTGTATACAACTCTATGGCGTCTTAAGTAAAATCGTACCACGCGTGTAAAGCATTAGCTTAATTAATTAATTTACTTTTTAAGGTAAAATGTCCCAAAGTGATGAGTCAGACGAGACCACGTCTCTGCTAGGGGACGGTACACGCAGGTGAGTACGGTGTTGTACGTAGATTAACATTCATCAGGCTGTGTTGTATTAAATAACTTAATAAAAATAAATATGTCAATCTCCTCACTGCATTACATAAACTATTTGGTTTTGTTCGTTTTAATTAGACTAGTAGGCTGTTGAGATTACCATTTGTTATTAATTACTTTACATTTTCTTTTCCTGTTCCCTTTTTGACAGAGGCGATCCTCAGGATGAGGACTACAAGAGTCGATGGAGGTCCATCCGCATCATGTACTTCACTATGTTTCTCAGTAGTGTAGGTAAGGTTCCCGACTATAATAGACACTGGTTTCTAAACTTTTTAATATTTACTCATTTGTACCACAGAGAAAAAAAAAATATAAGATTTCCTCTTTTATATCTTTTTTTTGGGTGAAAATATGACTTTGTAGGAATACAACTCTTTTTTTAGAAATACATTTTACTAGAGGTTTTTGAAGCAATAGCTTTGTGGGGGGAGTTTCTTGACGTTAGTCCTAGCTCCAAATCAGAGTGCTGAAGAAAAGATTCAGGAATGGGCTCATTTCTAGCCTGAAACTCTGGAATTAATTATTATTTTATAGTTCAATAGTTATATATAACTTTATTATATTATTATATAGTGCTACATGTTTATCCCTATGATGTAAACTTATTTTTTTGCTACTTAGTTTAGTTGGTTTGAGTTCAAAGAGTCAAGTCAGCATGTCACTTGTGAATCATTGTTTTAGATGGGGGCACTTTTCCAAACTGCACATTATAGCAGATGACATCAATATCCTGTAAACTTGGATTTCTTTCTCTTGCTGTGTTCATATTACATAAAATATATTATTTCATTAAAACATATAACACCACGGGAGACACATTTTGTGCTCTAAAGTTGTCAGAGCAGTTCAGTGTTCTATCGTAGGTGTCTTGTACTTTAGACGTAGAATACCACACGGTTTAAGGGGCTGGTGGGTAATTGGACTTAGACTTTATAGTGTCTGTTGTATAAAAACAGCACATACAGAACTAGTATTTAGAAATGCTGAGCAGTTGCAATAAATTAAATACAGCTTAACCAACAAAATATATATTCAGTGCAGTTGTTCATGCCCGTCTGCATATTTACAATAGACAACAAAAACAATCCAATACTCTAGGCAGGTACAGATTCATGATACGCTTCATGGTGTTGGGGGAAAACTGAAGTGTTGTTTTTAGAACTTTGTCTAATAGTGTTATGTAAAAACATTCATGTGATGCATCTGGTCATTTTGGTTTGGAAGTGATATAAAGATTCCATCATTCTTTGATGTCTTTTCAGGTTTTTCCATTGTCATCACATCTATTTGGCCCTATTTACAAAAGGTAGGACTGTTTTCTTTTGGTTTCTTTAAAATATAAGTGTATACTTATTATATATTTCCATGCAGCAAGTGATCGAGATCTATCATAGTTGAGTTCTAGCCACAGCAAAAAAGACTACATTTGACTTGTTACTACACTTTGTCAAGGTTGTGTCTTAACTTGGTTGGATTGTTGCCTGGTTTTCGTCAGGTTGACCACAGTGCTACGACCAGCTACCTGGGTTGGGTGGTGGCAGCCTTCAGCCTGTGTCAGATGGTGGCATCCCCCATTTTTGGTCTATGGTCCAATTACCGACCCCGAAGGGAACCACTGGCATGTTCCATCTTTATAAACCTGTTTGGCAACATCTACTATGCCTATGCTTATCTACCCACAAGCAACAACAAATTACATGTGCTGTTAGCCAGAGCCTTCACTGGCTTCGGGGCAGGTTGTTCTCACTCAGGCATGAAAACATCCACTAGAGCATGATGAGGTCAGTTTTACACTTAGTTTCATCTCTTATTGGCAGGTAATGTAGCTGTATTGAGGTCTTATGTGGCTGGAGCGACATCACTGAAGGAGAGGACAAATGCAATGGCTAACATGAGTGCTAGCCAGGCCCTGGGATTCATCCTGGGACCAGGTGAAATGTCTGGCCAAAATGGCATTCAACCACGTCTTAGTGAACGGTGTGGGTTTAATCACTAACATGTTTTGTCTGTGTTTGTTTGTGTCAGCTCTGCAGGCTTGTCTGTCATTTATCGGCGAACGAGGTGTCACGGTGAAGTTTATTGAACTGGAACTCAACATGTACACAGTTCCTGCTTTACTAGCTGCAGTTTGTGGCCTCATCAACATGCTGCTGGTTTTGATCGTGCTCAGGTGATGCTTCTTCTTTACTAACGCAGAGTCTTGTGATTATAACTTTAATACAATAGCAAATCTGTGCTAACTACTAAATAATAGCCTATGTCATGGAGTGGGTTTGAATTTTGTTGCACTCTGCATCACCATGGTTACTGATGATTTTTACATTGCACGTGTGTATTTTTACCAAATACCCAGTATTAAACAGTTAATTTAATCTGTTACACTCCTGATGTACATGCATTAAAATGTGTTATAAATATTTGTGTTGTGATCCTTACTTACAGAGAACATCATATTGACGACGATGGTAAACGTGTTCTTACCATTAACTACACATCTGAAGGTATGTTTTGCCCACCAACCTCTACTGCACAAGAACTTGACCTTGACCAAGATCCCCCTTAGTTCATTTTTTCTCAGGTCACCCTGGTGGTGCACAAGAGCAATTTATTAAATAAAGATTAACAAAAAAGGCTCGGAGCTAAGACACAATAAAATTTCTCATTGATAAAGTGTTACATCTATGGGAGAAAAATGGTAGTACATGGCAGCCCAAATCCTAGCCTTGGAGAGTTATGAGCAGAGATACTGTATGCCTGCAGTATCTTAGAGAATATTAGTCAGTGTTTTTTTGGGGGGGTTGAAGGATATGTGGTCATTCATTTTCATTCATTTTCCTGTAGATACAGTTGACGTTATTGATGAAGAGAGCGAGGAAGCTGTTGACAATGTGGCGGTGCTGACCTCCAATGTCCTCTTCTTCATTGTCATGTTCATCTTTGCCATCTATGAAACGTGCGTATTTTGGCCAAAGCTCTGCTCATGATCTGTTGCTAATTGCAATGCTCTTTACTGGATTTATTGGTTGATGTGCAGAATTACCACACCGTTGACGATGGACATGTTTGCCTGGACAAAGAGAGAAGCTGTTTTATACAATGGTGTCATCATCTGCCTTATTGGTTGTGAATCCATCCTTGTGTTCCTGGTTGTAAAAGTGGCTTCTCAAAGGTTGCAGTGCACAGGAAAATGTAAACAATAGCATCTGGATTTATTTGCCTGTACTCCATCATTGGGACTGTTTTCTTCCCTCCAGGTTTGGTGATCGCCCTGTGTTGCTCACTGGCCTTGCTATTATTTTCTGTGGATTCTTTGTCCTGCTTCCATGGGGGGACAGTTACCCCAAAATCCGATGGGCTGGTATGGTTTTTTTTTTTTTTTTATTGCAAAATTCTTTTCAGTTTTTTTTGTATAAAATTTCTATGAACCTAATATAACAATTCTCATTTCTTAAACACAGACATCAAAAACAACACTTTGGTTAGTCAGATGTATGAAGCATCCAACAGCTCTGTGGAGCCAACGGGCTGCCCCTATGAACAGACCTGGTGTCAGTATACTCCTGCGATACACCTAGCCCAGTTCATCACATGTGCCTTCCTCATTGGGATGGGTTACCCTACTAGTAATGTAATGTCCTACACCCTTTTTTCCAAAATAGTTGGACCAAAGCCTCAAGTAAGAAATAAAGTCTTAAGAAACACACCTTAAATAATAAAACTCATCTGTACAATATGTAATGTGGATGTAATTGGTTCTTGTTTTTTTACAGGGTGTGTACATGGGCTGGTTGACGGCCTCTGGTAGTGGTGCACGGACCCTGGGTCCTGTCTTTGTCTCTCAGGTGTATACTCTGTTGGGACCTCGGTGGGCTTTTGGCATCATCTGTGGATTAATGCTTGGTGCCATCTCCCTCCTTGTTGGCCTTTATCACAGACTTATCGCGTATTCCATACGCCTTGGACGGCTCGTTGAATAACCTACCTTGGTACAGTTTTAAGTAGAACTTGAACTATTCAAAGAAGGCCGAGATGCAATTGTGACTTGTTGTCACTGTTGCACACTTGGCTCCATCAGGGTTGGCTTTTAAACTCTTACAAATGGGTCTCAATACACAACAAAATAGTTTTTTCATTTGGAAGTTTCTTAATATTGTTACTGAGAGTTTAATTTATATCAATGTTGTTGCTGTCAGAAAATTATGCAATAATTATCCTGTTTTTGCACTGAATTATAAAATCTTTTTTAAATGATATTTAAAAATAGAATTAATAGTATTAATTTTAGTAGTTTTATCAAAGAAAAATAATTTGTTGTAGTGACATATTAGTGTGTAGTGACAGACTAATTCACAGGATTTAACATGCCTATCATTGCATCTGCTAAATGTTGGAAGTTCCAATTTTGCTGTGAATACAAATTTCTTAACCAAAAAAATATTTGTACAGTTTTCCAAAAAGGGAAAACACTAATATTGTTTTTCCTTCAAGTATTTAAGCTACATCCATGTTCATGTGAAATCACAGGTTATAATGCTAATTAAATCATCCATAAAATGATGTGTTAAGGTATGCTGATGACTGAGTCATCTGGTTGATGAGATGACTGGTTTATTAAAGGTTTAGTGTTCTACTTTTGTGTTGGTTTTGCTTCATTGAGACTGAATAGACAAACCAAATACAAGAAAATTCTCTCACTCCCAGTGATGTTGGATCTGAAAGTCTTACTGTTTACTATTTAGAAGTATTCGTATAAGAAAAACAAATTTAATCGAAAGTTAGTACTGTACACTTTAAAAATAAATGGCCATGCCTTTGGATTTTTATTTGTTCAGGAGGAGAAATTTATATTTATAAAACTCGACTTGTACAACACTTGGTCCGGGCGTCATTTGGGCCTCAGCACGCATGCGTCAAGTCCGTGCCAATTTCACGTTAAGTTCACGCGATGCTGTAAGAGACCGTCGACACCATGTTGTTCAAAGATATCTCGTAAACGTTAATGTTGAATGAATGCACATTATTACTGAACTGATGCGCATTACAACTATATTGGTAACCGAGAGAGAGCGTTAAACCAACATGGACATGTACACGGACGAGACAGGTGAGAAAATACCTACATTTAATACTTTTTCTGAAGAGCTGCTGGTGGTTGTTCAGCGAAGAAGCTAAGTTGCCCCATCAGAGAAGAGTTGTCACGTGTTCCTGTAAAAAAAAAATTAATGTTTTTTCCCCCCCCGCTTTTCTCTTTTCCAGGCTTTATTGATATGGATACGGTTGTAAGTATGGCTGTTTTTAATACTCCTTATTTACTCATTACTTTAACTCATGGAAACTAAGGCAACACGTCACGGAATCAAATCGATATGTTAGCATTGTCAGCAGGGATTTGTTTTTGTTGTCAAATGTAATCGTGAATGCGTCACACTCAACTCTGTCTGTGGGTTTTCAGATTGCCGTGAGTTTACACGTAGTCACTTCCTGTGTAGATTGACTTAAATACCTAGCCTGCTGCTGTTGAGGCAAATGGATGACTTACCCAACTCATCTTAAAATAACGACAGTGAAACGACTTCAGGATTTGACGGGTATTTCCACGGCTTTCAAACATGATTTTTTTAATTCGTGTGTTGTATTGTAACACTTGTCCATTGAATCATTGTAAAGAAAAAACATGCAATACGGTCTTTTCTTGACATTACCTTTTATAACATCTCTTCGCAGTAACTAGTGTGTGTCATTTGTTCTGTTTTAGATTCTAGCTTGTATTCCAGTTTCTTGTTTACAACGACATACTTTTGTTGCTAAATTGATTTTTTTTTTAAGTTAAGCCTGACATTCTGTTACAAATGCCACAATGTTCTCATTGTACAAGCTGCGTAGCCTGGCCTTGTTATCCATGTACTTTACTCTAGAGCAGTTTATCACACTATCAATACTAGACAAAACAAGCACAGAAACATCTGCCAAGGCCATTCACTCCGTAGAACCAGGGCCCATTGCAGTATGAAGGAAAGTGAAACTTGAGGGACGAGATCCATTTATTCAGAAAGTAAAGTGGAAGATACTGTATTTGTGCTTTTGAAGAAGAGTGGATGAAAATCTAGGGCTGTCTGGTGGTTGCTAGTAAAGAAATGCATGAAAGTATTGCCTTTCATTTTTTTCTTTCTCCTGTCTAGCAAAAGGTTGTGGGTTTATTTAAGACTACTCACATGCAAAGGATAGTCAAATGCGGTCTCCTGGGTATGTTTTTATTTAAATCGTTTCACACTGGTTAAAGCCTTTAAAGTCAAATAAAAAAAAGCACGCACACATCAGTGTTTGTCTTTACAGGCCTTGAATATGATTATGATTATGAGGATACAGACGGTGATGATACTGACAGCTCTTTCAAATATGACTACAGAGAGACAGTAAGTTGAAGCCATCATGCACATTGTTGATGTATTTATAACAAGAAGTGATTAAGTGTAGTGGAAATAATGGAGTGGTATTATTTTGGACTCTGATAGGATGAGAAAAGAAAAGCTAGGTTACAAGAGGAAAAGAAAATAAGTCAAGAAAAGGCTCAGAAGAAACGTCTTAAGAAAGAGGTGAATCCTGCTTCTTGCTAGAGTTTGGTTATGATTGTCCACATTTGCAGTGGGAGTGTTGTTAGGCTCACTTTTGTTTCCTGTCAAATAGAATCAAAAGAAACGAAAACAACTGGAGAGAGAGAAACAGAATACTCTGAAAGGGGAAGAGGTAATGACCGTTTGGAATTGTACTGTATATACCAAAATGAAAGAAAACAAAAAAACGACAAAAAAGCTTAAAATGTGTCCATTTACAGACAAAAACTGATAAAGAAGAGACTAAGCCAGAGGGAAGTAAAGCAACTGACGAAGAACCCAATAAAGATAAAAACACCACTGTCAAACAGTCAATACCTAATACTGCTGCAGAAAGCAATGAGAGTGAAGGCAACGATGATGAAGGTGGTCAGAGCGACTCCTGTGACTTTGAGGTACCAACAGCATCTTTCCAACAGCATCAGCCACACTCTTTATTTCACATATGTCAAACTGGAGGCCTGCCACCTCATTTTATGTGGCCCATGGGAGCCTAACATGCATGTGGTTGTTTTAATTAATATCTAGTATAGAATAATCTAGTATAGTATACTATGTGTGCTGGATGGGTTAAATACATGGGTCAAATTCTGCATGTGTATAATATTTGTGGCATTTTTTTGTCCATTATATTGAGGAAAAGGTTTTTCTGTTGAGAACATTCTCTGCACTAGATGTGAATAACTGTTAATCCTGTTTGGCCTCCATCATAGACTGTGTTTTCATTTTCGGCCTGTTGAGTAATTGAGTTTGACACAGTTGCTTTATTTAAAGCTTAGTGTGATCTCAGATTATGTTGTACTTTTTTTTATTACTTACAGGAACTGGATATAAACAGTACATTTGTGACCAAAGCCATTCTTATAGCCAAGCGTAAAATGGAGCAAAAGCCCCATCCAGAGAAGAAGGAAAAGAAAAAGACACCGGTTAAAGAACGTAAATTATTCCCTGTCAAAAATAATGAACTTCCCGAAGTTGAAGAGAAGGTACACACAAATCACTGCCGACATTTGAAGCTTGATAGTTCTGTATAGACTTCACTCTGACATAACAGTCGAGAAGGAACTCTTTTTAAAGGTTGCTGTGTTTTTGAGTTTTTAATCATAAATCTTCTCTCTCTCACAATAGTTTGAACAGGTGTCCCTTAGCCCGCATATCCCGACTATTGAAGATAATATTAAAAGAAGTACTGAGCATGCAGGTAATTTTGTTCCTCACTTCTAGCACACTTGGCTAAATTGTTGCTTTTGATTTATGTACTTAATTTTTTTTCTTTTACAGTAAATGGAAATAAGTTTGCCAGCTCTGGATACTTCAATATGGCGGTGAAATGTTTCACTGAAGCGATTAAATACAACCCTACAGAATTCAGGTTGATGTGCTGTCCATATCTTTATTCCCAAATGGCTTACATTTGATATATTTTCTGATGGTTGCTTTTGTTGCAGGTTGTTTGGCAACCGTTCTTTCTGTTTTGAAAAGATGCAGGAATATGAAAAGGCACTGATTGATGCTGAGCTTTCTCTGAGTATTTGTCCAGGCTGGGTGAAAGGCCTGTTTAGGAAGGGCAAAGCCCTGGCTGGACTAAAGGTAAATAGCCCTTTAATAGTATGTAGTACTATGTTGGAAGTTTAATAGAATATTCACATCATCTGTAAATGTTGAAATTTCAAACATTTTGTATCAATTTTGTAGCAATCTGAAATATTTACTGCGTGCTGCTTTGCTGTTGACAAGCTACCAAAACAGTTAAACAAAACACAGCTTATACTGGGTTTTACAAACATATTTTCAATAGAAGATTCACACCATATTTCCTATTAAAGGAGCACTGATTTATATTTGAATGTTAGTCTTGTAAAAAGTTCTCTGTTAACCAAGATGTATTAATGTTGTCAAAATAATCAGATTAAAACTATGCATCAGCAGAATGACCTGATCTGTGTATGAAATAATTCCACTGGCCATCCACTTACTCTTACAGAAAGAGTTTTTGTTTCTCCAAAGCACCTCTGGCTCAAAATACCATGTCAACCTCCAGCATGTCTTTGTGGAAGCTTCAACTTACAACTGACACAGTTGTCCAATGGATAGTGAGGGACAGTAGATTGATTAATATTTTTGAGGACAAGAGCGTCACCATAGTTACGAAAGCTACTCTTGATGTGGTCTATAAGTCAGTGTCAAAATTCACAAACTATGAAAACTTTTGATTGTTATACTTTGACATATTTCTTGACATTTTCCATTTTAATAGTTCTGTTGTCTGTATTAGTCAGGTGTGAAGGGTTGTTGAGTTATCTCAATTTGCCATTATTAATGTATACTGTATGTATATGTAAATATATTTGTTTATTATTATTTATGAATATATATAATGGAAAGTGTGAAGATATTTTAACTAGGGAGTTGTGAGTTTTAGACATTATACTGTACTTTTGCACTGTCAGTAAATGTGCGAATAAGAAACGTACTAGTTTTTTTTTAGTTTAAAGGTGGTTTTCTTTACCTTTCTCATACCAGGTTGGAACAATATTGGTTGGCTTTTTTTTGGCATCACTGCTACATTAATATGAAGTGTCGGGCTCAGGTTGTTTACTTGTGCTTGCTTTGACAGTAAACATTAATAACTGGGCTGATTAGTTTCAGCACTGTGGCGGACAGAGAGTGAGTGAGTGAATGTATGTGAGCCAATTCTCTTGTTTTTTTGACTGCAGATGTACGAGGAAGCTGCTCAGGCCTTCAGTGAAGTTCTCAAGTTGGACAGCTCGTACGCAGAAGCTGCACAGGAGCTGCTGAGAGTTCAGATTATACAACTGATGGTGTGTAACAAACCAGATGCTGTGTGTCACACTGTGTTTACTTAGCTCATCTTAGTAAAACAAAAAAACATATTAAACATTTGACATTTTAGGTCAATTATAGATGACAGTGACACGTGGTTATGCGATACTTACAGTTACTGTATATATCGGACTGCGTTCCTCAAAAATGATGTCACTAACCATATTTTAACCTGTATTTCAGGAATACGGTTTTACTCGGGAGCAGAGCTCAAATGCTATAATTATACATGGAACTGTTAAAAAGTCTTTAGAGGTGTTGTCACAATTCAACCTGCAACAAGGTGAGTTTTACCCATTCATAGTAAAAGGTGGAAAAATGCATACAAACATTTCCAGTCACGTCATTTTTTGTGCATAATGTTTAGTTTTGGTTTTATGTTGTCAAACCACATTATCTCCCATGTTTAAATTTAACTGCGAAAATGTTAAAATTATATTTGGTAAAAAATATGCAATTGTAAAATCAGATTAAAATGTTTAACTTATTTTAACACAGATGAAACGAAACACACTGTATTTCCCGTAATTCTACAGTCCATCCCCTTATCATTTCTCTAATACAGAGTCAGAGCTTAGCTAATTAATAATATATTTTAATGTCATTTAATTTGTTTTAAATTTCCACCTCAGTGGGGAGAATTGCACTGATATTTATTTTGTTGTGTGTTTAATGAGAATAAAAGTGTTGTCAGAATCACAGGTTAGGTAGGACAGCATAAAAAAGTGGTTTGTGTCAGAAAAATCTGCCATATATCAAAAACAAATTTATAATTGTTCTTACATGGAAATATAACAATTGTCTCAACTCATACAATATATTTTCTCAGGCACATACTGCCACCTACTGTACTAGAGTGTGTAGTCTCATGGTATGACCACTGACTTTTTGAGATAATGTAGCCTACTTCTTACGTTGATGCAATTCATTTTTTATTTTAACAGATGCGAAATGTCATGGTTTTGTAGCAATTTTAAACTGCAGTTTCATCCTGTTCATAAGGCTAATGATTGCATTGACTTGTCACTCAACACAATGTTGTGCCTGTGATTACTCTAGTGGTAGTAATGACTAAAAATACGTTTGGTATTCAGGGGCTCTTCAGCAGACAACACCGGTCCAGGTGGTAAATGTCGGAGGAGTCTCTCCAGTTCTCTCTGCCAACAAAAATCATCCTAGAGGTGCTGTCGCTGCCACAACCACCATTGATGCTGCTCTTCCTCCGCATCACCCTCATCTTCCTCAGTCCCATAACCCAACAAATGCAGTACTTCATAACGCCAAATCTATAGAATTCCAGAATTCTTTTATTGTCCAACGTCAACACAAACCCAGCGTTGATGAAAAGAGTAGCAAGGAGAACAGTCAGCCTCCACCGTGAGTGTTTATCATCAGTCATGCAGCAGCACAATCATGAGTCTGACACACTAAGCTCACATTTATTTTAATTAATTTTAAATCAAAAGTGCTTATAATGTGGCTGGTTAATGATGTTAAAACTACCTGGAATCCTAAATGGGATTATGACTTAATTAAAAGGTTGCATTATTGATTTTCTTCTCTGTATTAATCATACACCATGCCAACATTTCATATCTTGTTAATGCTTTTCTTTCCACCTAATATTATATATTTATATCATAGTTGTGTCTTTGTATTCATACCATTTCTGATATTTCCTCTAAAGTGTGTTTTCTTTCAACAGAGAGCTGTTTCCAGTCTGGGTAGGAAATTTATTTAACCCAGTGAACGAATCTGTGCTAACCAACCTGTTTAGCATGTAAGACAGTGAGCTATCTCTCAAACAAATGCTTATTCATTTTATATTTATTTTTGTTTATGTTGTTTTCCATGTAGTCAGATTGTCAAGTAAAACTTGAAAAAAATGACTGTCTTCTGCAGGGCTGGAGTGGTTTACAGTGTGAAGATTCTGTCTTTTAAGTGTTGCGCTTTTGTGAACTTCACAAAACAAGAGTTTTGTGATGAAGCCATCCGGCGATTTAACGTAAGTATCACCTGCACAAAGGTCTTTGATCTCTAAGATTACATTTGTCTGATACAGATGTGCTGTAGTTGGGTGGCTGGAGGAGGGAGGTCTTTTTCATGGCCACACTGGAAGAAAAACCTTTAATACAATTATTTACACAATATAATCGCCTGATCTGGAGAAATCACCATCAAGCTGGTTCCCATTAGCCTTACATTAGCCCACCTAATTTAGAACAGACGCCCCCTAATGACAGGAACCGTCTGAGTGTTGCATGAAGGTCAAGGAAAAAGAACTAGGAAATACATTAGAACTTTAGGCCTGAATGCACAGAGAGAAATATAAATCTTTGTTGGGTTAAAGTTCACAAGGCTGTGGAATGTAATCAGATTTACAACAGCTCTACACGCTAATTAATGACTGCAAATTGCATTGCTGTATAAGTGCAATAAAAAAAGGGTGTGATTTTTTTTTGTGTTCATCAGAAGTTTATATTTTTTGCTCCCATTGACATGTGTAGGGCTTTGAGCTGGATGGGATGAAGATCGTCGTCAGATATTCGGACAGGATTCCTCAGGGTCTAGGCATTTCAAAGTCCGCCCTCACGTCCAAAGATGTGCAAAACGAGTACATGAGGCGAGTATTTTCTGTAGATTTAGGTTTAATGGTGTCGTTAAATGTGTTTTTGTTGTGCTAGTCACGAGCATATGTCAAACACAGATCAGATTTTGTCACCACCCATAGCTGTTGTTTGTCAGTTTGAGGGTTAGGGTTTGAAAATGTCTCTCGATAATTTCCAATTTGTATGCAAGACTATACCAAGCATTTGTTGGTGTGACGTGTAGATATTTTACTGAAAAAAAAAACATTTGTGTGTTCTGTTTTTTAAAACATGCAAATCTGACCATGGACATTTTCCCCTGTTTACAGGCAACATAACTTTGTGGGTCAAAGGTCAGTTTCTGCTCACAGGTTTGACCAAAGAGATAAGAAGTGAAAGGGAATCATTTCTCGTCAGGCGTTACCTGGAGTCTGCCAATGAAAGAAGTATAATTACACATTGTGGGAGCTTTTAAGCTTCACTGCCTCTGAATGAATTTTCCTTTTTAAATTGACCAAAGGAAGTAGCACTCACTGTTGGTAGAAATCACGCTTAATTCGTTAAAATGCTATATTCTGTTTAATGCCAACGTGTTAAAAGCTCAGTTTTAACGGCTAATGGCTCTTCATATTCATAATTTTACTTAAAAAGATTATTTCAAATCATTCTGTATTTTAAGTCAACAGAAAAGCAAAAAATTTATAATAATGAATCTCTAATCCCACTTCTGCACCTGCCTTTTGTATCTTAAAAGTTTGAGCCTGAGTAGCATTTGTGTTCTCACAGGCTCGAAATAACACCTTTTCATACATTTAGTTTCTTCTTTCTTCTTTCTTTCTTTTCTTTCTTTTACTACAAAAAGTAATGACAGTATATTTAATCCAACATACACGTCTAATTGCATAATAACATTTACGTGACTATGGATGAGTGTTGTCAACAAAAAAGCCTAAAGTATTTGTTGCGTTGTTCACTACAGCACTGGTGTTTTTGTCCACAATTAAATGTTGATTCACATTTAGATGTACTGTGGTCTGTTTGAACACAAGTTCACAAGTCAAGCTTAAATTATTTTTATAGATTTTCATTTAATTATGCAGTATTTTACTGTATTACCTCTTCAGTGGGATTATCCAATACCGTTTGAATCAGATTAAACATAAACCTTTGTTTGATACGCTGGAGTCGCACGTGACTGGTTCAGCGTCTTTTGACCGCTAGATGGCACTACATGCAAAGCATGCGTTGCAGTATTTCGTGGCGGTAATAAAGAAATGTCAGAAATCAGTCGGATTATGACAAAGCATGACTTATGTAAGTGTGTAAATATAACCACGGCGGAGCTGGAGATCTGAGCGGCATGATGAGCATCTGAACAGAAATAAAAATCCATAGAGTTTTAGGTGGTTTACGAAGGTGGCTTTTTGCCGTGCTCCTTGCCATTTAAGAATGACAGTATGTGTGTATAAATACAGTATGTGTGTGTGTGTCCTCAAGGTGTAAGCAACATATTTGAAAGTCTTAAAGTTGCCTTTGGATTTTACCATTTCAACAAAGTTGAGGATTCCATCATAAGCTGCTCTACCCAGCCTCACTTTATTTTCAGACTATTCTCAGCAGCTGCAGATTCCACTGCTCATCATTTCTTAAATCTGTAGAAATTATTTTATTTTCATTTGAAAGTTTCTGCTTAACTTTATTTCCTGAAGAAAACTCCCTAGGGATTAAAAGTTCTGTCTATCTATTGATCCATCTATATAACCTTGGTCGTTAATGTCAGAGTGACACAAGTCAGAAGGATTCCTCCACATTATTTTGTATCATTTTGATTTTGATATTTTATTTATTTATTTATTTTCCTCTTTGGAGCAAGGAGCTAAAAGTGAACACTGTGTGGGTGATTTGCAAGGTCTGAGAATATAAGATAAGTTTCCAAGGATTAGTAGCATATGTTATCAGCCTTTTAGAGTGGTAAGTATATAAGGCAATAATCCAAAGCCGTCACAGTCTCAGAGGATCACCGCTGTCTTCTTTACCTGCTGGAAATAAATAAATGTTTCAACTCCATCAAAAATGCAACACTTTAGATCTTTAGCTCACAGCAAAAACAAGCGCTATCCCTTATGTGGAGCGATGATTGAATTTCCTCGAGCCCGCTGCACCTTTCACCTGTCATGCTGCATATTATTAGTTTGGAGCGTGATGTTGTTGGCTAAAAAGGCTCACAGGACTGAAAACTCAAAATGTGCAGCAAAAGGGTTTTTGTTTGTTTGTTTATTTTTATTAATTATTTCATCCCAGACCTGCATTAAGGTGCTGTCTTCCCCTTTCCTGAGCAAACTACAGAGGAAACCACAGATGCCGTTTGAAACTACGATGCTGAGTCGGCAGAAGGAGTAGCGCCGAAGCCTCATCGGCAGGCCTCATGTTTTCATAACTCTTCATCAGCTGCACTTGACACATCTGCTGCTGTAGTGCCCTTCTGCTTGTTTTTTTTTTCTTTTTTTTTTATGAAAAATTAGATTAAAATGCAAAAGACTACAGTAGTCCTTGCAACGCTCATCTCACTGTTTGATGGCAACTTTGGGCTTAATTAAAGCCTGGGAAAACTTGTGATGTGCACCCAGCCGTGACTGTGCAGCAGCGGTAGAAGGAGTAGAAGGCTGCAGTAATAACTGTTCCTTAACCCTGCGTCTTAAAAACACTCGCTCTGTCCGGCTCTGATTGGTGCACATTGCCTGTGGCAAAGGAAAAAGTCTTTATCATGGTTCAGCCGGCAGCAGTTGAAGTGCTGATGATGATGCTAAGGCAAGGCGCGTGTGTGCTGAAGAGGGGGGATGATGAAATGGGTGATAGAATCTGTAGAGAAGAAGCTTGAGTAATTTTTCAGCCTTTCTCTCTCTTAACTTGTTTTGCTTTTCTTGAGGCTGGCAGAAAGAAGAAGAAAAAAAAAACGATATGAGATTTTGTCAAAGAAGCCTCACATTTTCATTTGTTATATTCTGAATATTTTTTTCTTATCTTTTTCTTTTTTACATTTCAGAAAACCAGACTTTATTGGATTTTTGTTTGTGCCCCATACCATTTCTGAACTCCCAGGCTGTAACAAATGGACTAAGTTGGAGCTGAAATGATTGAGTGGCAGGACATGGATCAACTTCTTTTGATTTCCAATATATCACGTCTGAAATTCTGAGAATGTGGACGGACTGTGGTGAAAGGGAGAAGCTGATAGATCACTGCAATTCCCTGAGAACTGAAATCCTGGTGGCAGCGTCTGGCCTGGTTTGTTTGTCTGGTATGAATTCACACGGTGAGAGCGCTTTATTGACCCAGGTCTGCTCGGTTTGCCTCGCGGCTCTTCTGTGTGATGGGTGACTCCACATCTGTGATGTCAAAGGAAGACCCACGGAGCCACAGCAGAGTCCGCAGGCTCCTGGCTCTGTTGTATTTGCCTGTTTTATTCATAGAAGTGCTGCGGCCACACTGAGCTAAAGTGATATTAGTGTCTTCACCTCTTGCACTGTCAGACATCTATTCGACTATGAGCTTTGACTTCATAATCTGGGTGTTAAAGGTTGATGTAATAATCAGGGAACTTGATAGAAGAAATATCTCACTGAGAGTTTCTAGAAATTCTGCAAAATTACCTGAACCTTCCGTTTCTGCTGTTGAGGGTGATTGAATTGTCCCTCCCTTGTAGCGCTGTGCAAAATCAAATCCGAATTGTGCACAGTGTGGGTGTAAAAAATATAAAGGCAGTGAATAATCCTAATTATTCAGTTGACCTAACAAAGAAGCAGTGGAGACTTTGTCATTAGTTTACTCCCTTGACCTGTGCCTCTGCAGATCACTCTGTGATCACGCTGTGATTGGTCAACAATCGTATATGTTTCAGATGAATCTCTTCGACTTTGCATGGGTGTGACGAGTCTTCCCGTACTTTTGGGCAGTGGTTAGTGGTAAGGAAGCAGACTTGGTTCCGGAAGGCAAGTGCTCTGAGCAGGTCACCATCCCCACACACTGCTCCCGGGCGCTTAACGCTGACCACTGTTCACTTTGGTGATGGGTTTCCTGCACACAACCAAATCTGAACAGAGGTCAGATTTGGTTGTGTGCAGTGGCGTGCTGTGACACAATGACAAGAAGTTCACTTACTTTCCTTGATTGACACTTGACAGTGGTTTCTGAAGTCAAATGACTGTTGGGTTTAACTTTCACCTGCATGCATGTTAGACTGGGTAGAACGAGTCGTCAGGTGTGAACTTTAGTTAGATGTTCTGTCAGTCCATGGTTCGGCTATAGTTTGTCTTCCAGGTAATTCTGAACTAAAAGCCTCTACTAAAAGGTTTTCTATCTAGAGCAATAGATCAACTTAGGTGAAGGTCTACAGGAATGGTGAGGTGTACCGTGTAACAGAAGTGTTTAATGGAATGGAGATTTATATAGATTCTAGGGTGAAGTTGGATCAGGTTCTTGGTTCAAATCCTCTTTGGTGGACCTCTTAGAAATCACTCTGTGGACTGTTGCTGTGTGCAATATTAGAGATCCTACATTGACTGCAAGTGTGAATGTTACTGGGAATGGTTGGCTGTCTTTCTCATGTGAAGAGCTCGGTCATCCTTTAAAGTGTTCCCAACATTTCCTGATAACATTGGCTCTTAGCTGCTGCCATAACCAGTTGCAGGGAAAACCAGTAAGAGTTCTGTACTTTTATTATATGGAGCATCGAATTATAATACATTAGTATTAGAGTTGTCATTTTCAAAATGATTAATCACCTGGTAGCGGTGTATTAATCACATTTATTTGAAGACACTTGCAGGCAAGAGGAGAGGAAGACATCAGAGAAGATTTGTGGATCTTGTGAAATCGAACATGGAGATGGTTTGTGAAAATGCACAAGAGATGGGTTAGGATGAGATGGAAAATAAGATCTGCTGTGGTGATCCGTGAAGCCAACAGTGAAAAAGGAAGAAGAATCACAATTAACTGAGATAAATCAATATTCTTACATACATGGCTGGAACAGAAACACATATACCAACATCATCTGACCATGTGCTTTAACTACGTGTACATTTTTAATCTGATAAAATTCATATTTCACTCTTGACAGGTCAGCTTTAATTATTTTGGGGTAAAGGGCAGCACCAAGTAAAAGCTCCTCTCAGACGGAGACCTCTGAAGGACGTCAGCATGAGGAGTAACCTTGATCTCCAGCAGGCTTGCTTACACATGACTGCCCATTCACTCCCATCTGCCGTTGCAAGGTCAGCCAGGCTCAGCTGAGGGCCAGGGCTTCAGAGAATAGAAGACGTTCTTCACAGCCAGGGTGGTGTAAGGACCTTGAGAAGTTGTGAGGTTTGTGAAGTTTCATTTAACTTAATAGAGGGATAAGGACAAGTGGGATGGAGGTTCCCACCTGTGGAAGTGTAGATGTTTCAGTTTAAAAGTAACTTTAGAGCAGATCTAGATGTTTTGGAATTTTATGGAACCAGAAGAAAAAGATGAAGAGCAGCTACTCAAAGATTGTTTGTTCCAACAGCAGGGTCAGCAGTGAAATGAAGGTTTAGACTGTAGAAATAGAAATAATAATAATTCAGGCATATACTGTACATCTCCATAGCAACTGCGTTATGAACAAAACATATTTCCTCACTTTATTTTTTTTTTCAACACAGTTATCAACATCATAAAAAACCCCACAGTATTTACCATGGAGGGGAAGTCTAGCTCAGGACATTACTGTGTTGTCACATGTCGTTGTCATGTCAGTTAACACTGTGTATCACGTTACTTCTAACAAAACAGTAGATAAAAGTAAAAGTTTGATGTTAGGGTGATTTCCAAAAAAAAAAAAGGGAGACAACCATGAGAGAATTGTGCTTGAATCACCTTCTGCCTTTACGTCCTTACACAGAGGAAGGCACCTGTGTTTCGTCTTCTTGTCTTTCTGAATTCTAAAACAGTCGTGTGCGTGTTCGTGGTGGGCCACCAGTAGAAAAATAAAATGTATCTTCTGACTGTAGTATAACGTAGTACAAACGTCCTTGGGAGAGTTCCCTCTGACATCACCGGTGGTGAGTCCTGGGCTTCAGTAGAACACTCTGACTCCTCTCTAATTATATATGAACACAGCCTGGAGAGTCAGGAGTCTCAGTCTCACCCTGCTCCACCGCAAATGTGGAAGGGTTTCTCCTGACCAGGTCAGCTCCAGAGGCAGATGTTGCTCATAGCCTGGCAGGTGGAGACGCCCTCTGCAGGCGAAAGGTAGATCTTGCCACTAGGGCAGACGCACACCTCGTACACGGCCTGCTCCTGGGAGGCCTGACTGGGAGACGGGGTGTAGATGCCAAGTGGGAGGCTTCCCAGCTGAATGGTGTTGGCGTCTAAAAGGATCTGAGAGGGAGAAAAAAAAACAAAAAAACAGTGGAGACGGGCTGGAAGTCATTCAAATAACATCGCCACTGATGCCCTGAGGGGATTTATTACTGAGTCAACCTGATAAATGACTGTGGTGCAATCAGTAAATACATTGTGGCAGGTGGAGTGAAATACAGCAGGATAAAGAGTGAAGGAGGAACTCCATCTCTCTATTAAACTTTTGTTTTTATTTAGAGCACAATGTTTGGGTTTGCTCTCCACTGAAAAATCACTGCAACAATTGGACCACTTCCTATGATACCTACTGTTTTTCTATGGTAGCACTTGTTTACTGTTTACCTCGAGCGCATCACAAGGTCAAAATGATCATTCTTGTGTGAGTTTACCTTCATTTTGATACTTTTTGTACCAAACACAGTGGTGTCGCCCTACTGTTTGAAGACATCACATAAAAAAAAAAAACTTGTGCTGCATGAACTACTTTGTCACAATTTGAAGCTGGACAATCCTTACATTGACATTTTGAAATGTTCCTGTTGTATTCAGGAAAAAAATCCATAAATCCATGGACTTAAAAATATTCATTTTATATTGTGAAGATGCTGAACCAACTATTTTGTGCAAAAAAGTTTTGGCAGATCTTTGATCTCATTGATGAAAATAAATCTGGACCATAATACTGGGTGTATGGACACTAAGCATGATGGGTAACCACTTACCCCTACTTTATTTACTATTTCTTCATACTCTGACAATTCATTAAACCCAGGCTCATCTGATGAAAACTATCTTTTCCCATTGGAGTCCAATATTCAGTGAATACTATGAGTAACATGCAAACTCCATACAGAAATACAGATCTTAGAGTAAAGACTAGATATAAAAAAATAACACCCATTCAATCAAGTGGTCCATTCGTTTCCCTAAAACACTTTCCGATGACTCTTTATGCTTTTTAAAATATTTCTGAGGGTTTTTAGTCCAAAACTTTTGACTTCATGGTCTTTCAACTGGCTGTGCATAATTTAACATATTTCTAACTTTAATTTCACAGCACAACAATCCAAATTGTTGTGTTAAGTTTTAGCAATTCCATTTGACTGAAGGTGATCCTGAATCCTAATCAGAGATCAGCTCTATCGATCCTGGTTTTAATAATGTGCTGTGTAGTTCTTAACTTCATTTCAGGAGCTCCATCAGTCTTCTGGGTTGTTTACGGAGCAATATCTCTTCCACAACCAACCGGATAATTCCTCTGACATGTTTGTTCCACTAACAGAAAGCCACTCACTGCATCAGTTGGAGTTAAAGAACTTGTTGCCAAGAGAATCATTAATCACTGCAGTAATTATCCACTGGAAAGCCCGTTTGCATTTGGCTTCACTTTAGCTTCTGCATTTATTCATGTTGAACTGGAGTGGTGACTTTTTTTTTTCTTGGCATGACTGTGTGTTTGGTTGAGTCAAACATGCTTTACGGAGGATCAGCTGTAAAAGCACGTCTGATTATTTGACTGTTCCCACTCACAGTTCAGCTTCCTGTTCTAGCTTCAAAACCAGGAAGTTTTGTTCGGTGTATATCAGACGTTCATCGAACAGCCAGTTTAGTTCACTACCATGTAAAAGCATGCAATATTTGCAACAAGTGAACTGAATGAATGAAAAATGAATGAGGACGAGAGAATGTAATGGCTTGAAAGATCATTCTCCAACTCCCCATCCCTCACCTCTCCGTCTGTTGACTCCAGCTGAATGTCCTTTCGACTGCTGACCTTCAGCTGCCCTTGAGCTGCACTCACATCCACTCCTCTGGGAGCCTCCATGGTCAGGGTACGTGTTGGAGACTCCAGCCTGACAAGGCAAAAAATATATAAAATAGATGTCTCCACATTTCAGAGATTTAGAGCATGAAGCGATCGATTTATTTAGTTTACACTTTCTGGGGGTTTGCATTATTTAAACTTTGCCTTTCAGTAGTATTTTTATAGCGAGCAGAGAAGTTACATTAACTTTTCCCCCCCACAAAGTTCTGATTTCTCTGTAGAAAAGATTTACAGCAAGTGGACTAATTTCATGAGTCGTATTTGAAGATGTTTCCTGTTTGACTTCCATGCCAGGTGTCACCCGGTGCCTGATTTAATTATTTACTAGTTATTAAAGGTGCTTTTCGTGTATCTCCTCTCAATATGCTAATTGAGAATTGCTACTAAACTGCCTGTAATCAGGTGATTGTGACCTTCAGCGACAAAGAAGGAGCTAATGGAATTTGCATTTTTCCTCCCGTGAACTATTTGTTTACACGGGGAAAGATAAGTGCGTAAGCCAATCAATGTGGAATGTATTTTCATAACTCATAACCCATTCAAATTGATTTTCCTCGCACCGTCCTACCCAAATCTGCTTTTTCAATGCATTTTTAAATGGGAGACTTAAAACGGAGCGCCGTTGAAATCGCTTAAATCTCCATAACCTCTGAAAGTGACACACATTCTGGATTATGTGGTACTGCAGTAAGGCGGAGATTGGAAATGAAAAGGAAATGAATTCCATCTGCATGTGAAAAAGCCTCTTTGACTCCTAATCAGCTTTGAGTAGATACAGTTTGGAGAGAATCTATGAAACGTGGGTTTGACCCACCGCAGTTGGTGCTCTACACTAGTGGGGATGACGGTTGTTGATTTTTTCCTCCTCAAGTAGCTCAGCTAAAAAGAGAAACAACATCCACCAGTCCTGTATCTGGCCTTTGTCATTTCCTTGCTTTTCTAACAAAGGGCCAATAGACGGCACTGAGAGTTTTACGAAGGCTGTCAAAAAGGTACGCGTCATACCTCCCACAGTATATCCAATAAACCAGTGGTTCTCAAACTTTTGAGAAAAAAAACAACTGAGAAAACATTGATCTCTCTGAGTATCACCATGATGACCAACATTAGAATACAGCAGCAGAGGCCTTCACTGTTAGCTTCCACCACAGGAGAGATGTTTAAATGTTGTATTAATGTGCATGGTATGTTTCAGATTTATTCAATTGAAAATGTAAATGTGAAAATATGAATTTCCCCAACGTACCACTAGAGAGTGCTCATGTACCACTGGTGGTACCCGTACCACAGTTTGAGAACCACTGCAATAAACTACCCTTTCATCCAGTTTTCTTTACTCTAGTACACAGTCAATTCATTTGCTGTTATTTACACACACTGCAGGAGAGTTTTAGCAACAGCTTCATGCTTAAAATACCATCTCAACATCAAGCATGTGTTTGTGGAGGCTTCAGTTCCAGTGTGTCAGACGCCTGACATGACGTGTCAGAACAGATTCTGCTGCTGTTGCTCTTCCAGACAACAATGGGGTTTTATTTTCTGGAAACTTGATTTATCTTGATTAATTGTGATTAATATAGATCATGATTAATCCTGATTAATACACAGCTACCCTAAGATACTACTACAGTCAGAAGACAGTACATTTTCAACAGCCCTAGTCTTTACTTCAGGGGCTAGGAACCTAAATAAAGTACAAATACCCAAAGTAGGATTAACAAGAGGAGTTATTGAGAAGTTGTCACCAAAGAAGACTGCCCTGAAGATTTTTATATATGATTTTTCCTTTAACTTTTTTTTAACAGCTGTAGTATTAAACACAACACTGGACCTTAAATCTCTTGATACTCAGTGTGTGTTTTTTTTTTTCTGCTCTCCCTGCCACCCATTGACTTCATGCTTCTCTAACCCGTTGTGTGCTCACAGAGGCTCTTCTGCATTGTAACAACTAGTTACCTCTGTGACTGTGGCCAGTCCATCATCTCCAGCCAGTCTGGTCATTTTTCCTCTGACCTGTGGCGTCAACAAGACATAGTCTGCTGTGAGAGCTGCCACTCATGGGCACTCACTAGATGCTGCTTTTTTATTATCTTTTGATCCATTTTACTGCGGCCTCATGCACCATTCAAAATCATCTGAAAAACACCTTTCTTCAACTCCATCATCAGTTCTTCTCCATCTTGTCTATCTGCTCCCTGATTGGCTGATTAGGTAGCTGGTCTGGTGTGTCCTAAAGAAGGTTGCTGAGTTTAGCTGTGCCACAGAAACAGCCCACCTCCTTTAACTCCCTCAGATATCTGATGTGCACCACAGCACTCAGTCTCAATAATTGAAATAATTATTCGTCAAGCCTTCACTGATTACCTATTGTTCAGAGTGAAGGGCCGTTAAGACAAAGTAATGACAACTTAAGTGTTGGTGCTTTTAACTTTGCAGGACACTTTCATTATATCTGCTCACACACACAGTCTGAACGTCTACCTTTAAAGGACATCACACACACGTTTTCACGTCTTCCACGACAGAATCATCCGCATCACTCATCGTTTACATCCACCGTGGAGCCGTGGAGAGTTGTAGCCTTCCTCCTCATTAGCAAACTTTTTAGTCCCAGCAAGGACCAACAGTCCCGCCAAGGTCAGTGCGTGTTCTGCTAATTCTGGCCAGAAGACAAAGCACTCAATTTCCAAGAGTGCTCATTTCAGATACAGTCCAAAATAAAGCATTACAGGAATTGTCTGTGGTGCTCTTAAAACACCTCACAGCATTGTTCAGTTTAATGTGAGGGGCTGTAGAAGCAGCGGTGTGACGTTTCTGCTTCCTGTTGACACTTCATGACAACAACTCCTGAATTTAGCAATTCATATTGAACATTGTTGCTGCAGAAAAACAGAACAAACATTTCAGTATTAACAGTAAGGATTCATTCTTGGTGCCAAGTATGTGACACAAATTCTTTAGAGCAGGGGTGTCAAACTCATTTTCACCTGGGACCACATCAGCAATACACTTCCCCTTGAAGGGCCGGTTGTAAATGGAAAACTGTATAAATCAGGGGTCCCCAACCCCCGGTCTGCGGACCACTACCAGTCCATAGGTTATTTGGTATCGGGCTGCAGTGAGACACAGTGAAAACATTTGCTAAATTTTGACTAATGTACTTAATTTAAAGAAAATCCAGTCATATTTATTTACTTACTGGCAATATTTTAAAACAATATGTCATTCAGATTCTGATAAAACTAGAGTCTAAAAGATGATTTATTTTGAAAATGTAATGACCCTTCAATGCTCAGCACCTTGGTACTAGTCTGTAGTAACAGGTGGTACTGGCTGACCAGTCCTTGGAACAAAGAAGGTCGGGAACTGCTGGTATAGATGGAACTGCTCCATAACAGACTAATACATGTTTCTGCAATTGATTATTATTTATTCAAGCTAAAAATATTGTTTGTTGCTTTGTAATAAATAAGTGTTTAATCTCAGGTTAAGAAACTCTGCTGCATGGACTTTACTAAAGGCTTTTTAGGCTTTAGAGCAATATTCACTTGTGGTTGTTGGTTTTCGTATTTATTTGTTTTTACCAAGTATTGTTTTTATGTCTTTTATACATATTTTAAAAAAAATCTTTTATCATTGGTTCTTTTGGTCCTCTCATACATAGCTAAGGTTAAGCTAACCTTTAGGTATATAATTATTAACTTTTAGCTATCTTTTTGGTTGTATTTAATATAGCCCTGAAGTCCATTTCTGTGTTATGGTACCTTTGACTTACACTTGCAATATTTGCTCTGGTATTTAATATAAACTCATTTAATCTTTAAGAAAATCAATACGTTTCAGTATTGATTTTCTAAGTTGCTTTCAATGACTTCTAAATAAAACATACAGCTTTAATAGGTGTTTTCTAATAGAAAAACAAATACATCTAAAATGAAAAAAGCCAAAATATTTTAACAGTGGCTTTTTGTAGCTGTTCAGGAATGGATTTTATTTTTTTAGAATATCAGCATACATTGCTTAGGCTTTTCATTTATATTTCTGTGAAAGTTTGGCTAAGTCAATTTTATTTTTACAGCCCAAATTCACAAAACCCATTCAGTGTCAGTGGACTACATTAAAATTAAACAGGTAAAACATTGGGCTACGTGTAAAAATCAATGTAATATTGATGTTATATCAACAAGACAAAGTCAAATTATATTAGATCACACACGCAGTGATGCTGCGTTCACCAGAAAGAGGCAGAAAATAAGATAAAATGCAGGAAGTTTCAGTGGTTCAGTTGCAGGGTCCAAGACCATTCTTGAACCCTATAGGTTTGACAGTCAGTACTGGAACTATTGAGTTGGCTTTTACAGCATAAGCTGTCCTGATTGGTTGAAGACTCATTAAAACTCACACAGCATCCAAAAAAAAAACCGTTGGCGATGATATCAACGTCAACGTCACTGCAAAGAGTTTTTATTTTTCATCATTAAATTCCCTGACAGTAGTTCCTGGTACTAATTCCTGTCTTTTTTCTGTTCATGTTGTGGCTCTAAAGCATCGTAACCATCAATTATCTTAATGTTTAATTAAATAAGTGATATGCAGTGAGTTCATGGAATAATGTTATTAGGAAACTCAGGAGAAAAAAACAGATCAGTACAAATTAGATGAAAGATCACAACAAGATCACTGTGTTTCTGTTTGTCTGATATTAGGAGCACTTAACCCCCAGGTCCAACTTATGGGACGCAGATTTAAATAATGTAAATTCCCCCTGGATGCAGATTTAAGGGAGCGCTACAACATTTGTTCAAAGACTGATCTAATCTAATAAACTCATTTAAATATTATTATATTATATTTTTTAAGGTCACAGTGCAAGCTGAAATTACCTTTTTAAATATTTTCAACAAATTAAACAAAAACGTGGCTCTTTATTTCAAACTTCCATATGACTGTATCTCAGCAATGATAAAGTACTTTAGTGTTTTTTCAGTCATCAAGGCCGTTTTACAGCATACTCTGTCTTTCATCCTC